ACGGTTGTTGCGCATATTTACGTTCAATAAACGATCATCTGTCAAATTACACAACTAAATTAATTTGCGCTAAATCAAAGGTAGCTCCACTAAAGAAAATAACCATTCCACAATTGGAGTTGTGTGGCGCGTTATTACTTTCCAAATTGGTACAACAAATAAAATCTGCATTAACAATAAATATCTCAAGGCAGTATTATTGGACAGATTCAAAAATTGTATTGGCATGGTTAAAAATTCAACCATGCTATTTAAAAACATTCGTTGCTAATCGGGTTACTCAAATAAATGAATTAACTAGGGTTACAGATTGGTACCATATTGATGGTAAATTAAACCCAGCAGATATTTTATCCCGTGGCGCAAGCCCCACGACTTTAAATAAGTTTAGTTTATGGTGGGACGGCCCACAATTTTTACACAATGATTTTGACCCAATTAATTATCAAATCTCCGAACCTCACAATGAAATACCTGAAATAAAAAAATCAACTTTCACTTCTTTGTCACTAGTAAACGATTATAGTATTTTTGATAGGTACTCGTCATTATTTACATTAAAAAAGGTCGTCGCCTATATGCTTAGGTTTGTAAATAATTGTAAAATAAACACAAAACGGAGAACAGGTGCTTTAAACGATAACAGAAATTAATCAAGCCACTACGACCTTATTAAAGCTTGCACAACAGCAAGAATTTGCGGAAGAGATTCGTTCATTAAAACAAAAAAAACCATTATCGCGCCATAGTAAGCTTTTGCAATTAACACCATTTTTAGATCAAGTTGAAATACTAAGGGTAGGAGGTAGACTTCAAAATGCAGTAATTCCCTTTAATCAAAAACACCCAGTAATACTTCCACCAAAACACAAAATAACAGAAATGCTCATTCAAGATTATCATTTAACCAATTTACATCTGGGTTCACAATCATTATTAGCAATTATGCGATTAAAATATTGGCCGATCACGGGCAAACAAGCTGTCAAAAGAATTTTAAGAAAATGCATTACATGCTATCACACTAAGCCGGTCCCAATGAGTCAATTAATGGGAAATTTACCTGTAAGTCGTGTCACAATTGCAAGGCCGTTTCAAAAGTGCGGCATTGATTATGCGGGTCCGCTCTGCATCAAAGACAGTGCAGCAAGAAAACCCAAAATTTTTAAAGCCTATATTTGTCTATTTATATGTTTTACAACAAAGGCGATTCATATCGAATTAGTAAAGGATTTGTCAACTGATTCATTTATTAATGCTCTCAAGCGATTTGTTGCACGTAGAGGAAAGCCCTCTGACATTTTTTCGGATAACGGTACAAATTTTGTGGGTGCAAATAATAAATTAAAGGCAATTTTTAATCTTTTAGCAACTCAAAATAATCAAAAGAAAATAATTTCACATTTACAACAAGACAATATTCAATGGCATTTTATACCTGCTAAGGCACCCCATATGGGTGGACTGTGGGAATCAAGTGTTAAATTAGTTAAAAATCAGTTAAATAAAATTCTTGGCAATGTGTTTTTAACGTTTGAAGAACTTTACACTGTACTTGTCCAAATAGAAGCGTGCTTAAATTCCCGTCCCTTGACCGCTATTTCCAACGATCCTTCCGACTTTTTGCCATTAACCCCTGGTCACTTCCTTATTGGTGATTCATTGGCAGCACTACCTGAGGAAGATGTCACCGATATCAAAGAAAGTCGATTGAACAGATTTCAACGTCAACAGCAGATAATCCAACATTTTTGGCAGCGATGGTCGCGAGAATATTTATCTCAACTTCAAGTTCGCAACAAATGGCAGTTTATCAAGGACAATGTGCGAATTGGTGATTTAGTGATCCTTAAAGAGGATAATGTGCCACCGCGAAAATGGCCCATGGGCAGAATTGTCGAGCTGCACCCTGGTCAAGACGGATTAGTGCGGGTGGTATCTTTAAAAATGCCGTCCGGCACTATTACAAAAAGATCAGTCAATAAAGTGTGCTTATTACCGACGGAAAATGAATTAAAATAGCAAACCTCAGTGAAGTTAAATCAAAACAATCATTTCGCTATTTTTGTCATGACAATGACAACAACTGTACTTACTGTAATTATTTAGTCAATAGATCATTTATAACCGTAATTGTAGCAATAGATAATAAGTTGTTTGTTTTAATTTTTTACTTTCATTCATAAGTAGATATGTTTTTATTTCATAGTGCACAGGGCTTATTTGAAAGCCTCAAAGCTTTCAAGGTGGCCGGTTTATGGTCAATTTTATACCTGTTAATATTATAGTTAAGTAGTATTATTTTTATGATCAATTGTATACCTATTTATTTTATAGTCCTAGGATGACATTACAATGTTACAAATAATGTCCATCCTTGATTGGCTGTCAACCCTAAGGGCGGGCATAACTGTTTGCCTACGGCGCAACAGCCACTTGATTTAAGGGAGTATAACTTTCACTTCTTACACATATTTTAAGAGTCAATATTAAGCAGTCGTAAGATTAACATGTTCGCTTCAGGATCAGCAGATCTCTGGGCAACATTTTTTATTGTACATAGTTAATAAAGTTGTGTTATTTTAATTAAGTGAGTGTTTCAATCAAATTGCACAATCATCAATAATTCGTGATCCATCAAGGATTCAATTTACAACCTCATTTATGGTTCATCAAGCCAGTTTAATTCACAACAATTAACGTCACAACAATTCACAACACATATCTTATAACATAACAATAGGAAATCGATGATTTCTCGTATGCACTGTACATGTAGAATTGCATATAAATTTTTGTCAACATTCACTACACAGTTTAGCAATCATCCTGTGTCTTTAATAATTTTGTACTTGGAAACAAGACGGTCAATCGTTTAAAACTTTGTAAATGTCTTTTAAGTAGGCTCTTCTACAACTTAAAAATTTTTCAAAATTTTCTCACAGCGACTAACATTGTGCCAGAACCTCCTTAACGTCCAATTTTGTCCCTAAAATTACGTAAACTAGGTAAGTTACGCTTAGTCAAATAAGAAAAGTACTATTAACAAAAAAGGGTTTTCTGTTTATTATATAAGTACCTATCAGATATTTTAGGTACAAAACTGCATTTATGAAAATGGACTTACCTTGTTTTTGAAGTAACCCGACGGGATACAGGGTGTTCTGAAATTAGGGGGCTGAAGTTGAACAGTGTAATCTGCACTAGTGTTTTTTCCTATGCAAATTACTTTGTTTAAATTTAGCCCCAATTTCAGGACCCCCTATATATAATTCTATAGAACTTAGAAAACACGAGTTTATTTTAAAAACGATTTATTTAATATATTAATAAAAAAGACGTCTTAAAGACGTTACCTTTTGTAACATACGTCGTCGTTAAGATGTATTTAAGATGCCTATAAGGCGAAAACCTACGTCAAAAGACGTCTTATATGTTTTATGGAAATTGCAAATGGCCAAGACATCAGGTAAACAAAATACGTTTGCGCTACACGACACGTGTATATTATACACTGTATAAACCATAGACAATATTTTATTATGAAAGCTATAGTCTATGGCATAGACCTTCAACCGTAGAGTCTACGCCATGAAATTTAGTACCAAAACTGTCCAAAAACTTCAGCGCCAAATTAAAATTATTAACAAACATTTTAATTAAACAATCACTATATATTATTAAAAAAACAATTAAAATTATAAATTTAATTCAATGAACACATTAATTCCACAATCAAAATAATTCGTTGCATTATTATGTTTAAATTAAATTGTTACATTAATTAAAATGTTAGTGTATAATTTTAATTCCTTATTTAAATTTAAATAGGTAGGTACTTAAAATTTAAATAAAGAAACATTTTATTTCACTAATTAATTTAAATGCGCAGTTTTTTAAAAAAACAATTTAATTGTAACAAAATAAAAAAGGAATGAAAAAAATATTTTTATTTGAAAAATTAAAAAATAATAATATTGACTAAAACGGCCTTCCTTAATTGCTGCATTTTAGAACCTTTTTAGAAGCCCTATTTTTACACTTCATGTGCCTAAAATATAATGAATTTCCAAAATGTTTCCATTTACAATTTTTGCCTTTCGACTTTTTTATCTTAATTTTAAGTAAGTAGACACTATAAAATGTTTATCTAATGGTTAATCCGTCAATAAAGATATTTATTTATTTATAAAAATTTTAAGTATAGAAACAAAATAACTATATATAGAATATATTCTTTAAAAAATTTAAAATAAGCCACATGATTTAAAAATGATATTTTTATTCAAAAATAAAAATACTTAATTGCTTGTTAAATTTAGAAAATCTAAATTTTAGAATCCAGTTCTTTATTATGGCTTCCATTACTTATTCTCGAGTTAAAATTAGTATGAGTCAATTATTAACAAAAGGGATAAATTTACTTTATATTATTAGTAAATTTATCTTTGTATTATTAGGTTGTTTCGTATATAATGATAATCATTACAACCAACGCGACTTGGAACGTGAATAATGAACTCATTATTTACGTTGTTATTCGGGTTCGGGTTTTAAATTTGGAAAAAGCGACTATAATAATATTTAAAATTGGTAAAAAGTGAGGTTAACCATTTTTTTTAATCATTTAAATATTTACTAATTGGAGTAGAAAAAGTATAGTATTACACTCGAGATCATACGCATTATTGACTTGGTTGATTTGCGTTTCTCATCTGGCGACTCGAGACGTGAATAATAGCCTGCATTTTCTCTTATATAATAATATACTTTTTTATAATTAAATTTTATTTAACATCATATTTTTGTTGTATTTAAAATATTTTGTTTTTAGGTACCTTTTTACATTTTTTTACTACCTGTTTTAAAAATTAATACAATTAAACTAGTTCTCTATAACTAAAATAGTCCCTTTTATTTAAATATACCATTTTGTATTTAAAATTGACGGGTCATAGTAAAACATAATAATTTAATTTAAATTACTCGGAATAACTCACTTGTAGCCTGCTAATATATTTAATAAAGTTGTTTTTCCGGCACCAGACGGTCCAATTATGGCGTGGAGTTGTCTTGATTTGAATTGTCCATTTACATTTCTTAATATTAATTTAGGGCCTGAAACAATATATACACATATTTATATAACAGTTTTATTAGTATTTTAGTTCAAAAATGGCGCATGCACCGGGATTAAATACATATCTGTTTTTTTTTACTTCATTGAGGGCCTAGTATAGAAAGTATAACCAGCTTAACGTTCAGACCTTTTTTTTATCTCTGGTTCGGACAGTACACAATGTGCATTACAGTGCGCAAAACTTGTCAATTAAAAATTAATACGAAATATAATTTACATAATAGATTTTTTCACTCGTCATAATGTGGTGTATTTGTTTTTGCATATTTTCATTGGTTTAAGAGGTAAAAAATAAATAAAAAACCATTTGAAAAAAAAAAATTAACTTAACTCGCTATATGTAACTTAAAATAACTAGCGAATATTATAAAATTTTAACACAAACTTTGTTTGGCTTTAATAATGTTATCCATATAAAAAATATATTATTTAGAATGAAAATGTATAATAAATAAATTATGAATATGCACCACTACTAATCATGCTCGTTACTTTCGCGTAAAAAAGTTTTATATTTGTTAAATTGTTGTACGTAGGATTATGTCTTTAGTATCGGAAAGTTTTTTTTAATATAACAATGATTGATAAATAATTATAGCCCTGGTGCAAATAAATAAACAAGTTCCCTGCGACGCCCTGTGGTTTAAGTGCGGCAAAAACTCAAAAGAAAAGTCCAATTTTTATTCATCAGAATATAATATATTATGTAGGTCGATAATTTTAGTGATTTTCTTTTGTTTTACAGGCCTGTTATTTTATTTTATTTAATAAATGAAGGATATCGAATTGGCTGATTGGCTGATTTCGCTTTGTATGGGTCCTGCAACTACTGTGCTATTTTGTACAGACTGAAAATATAGTAATTGGAATCTTCCGGAAGGTTTAAAAAAAAGATCCGGTTAGCTTCCGATAGCTTTGAGGTTTAAGAAATTGTTTTTGCTTTTTGTATTGTTTTGGTCAAAGAAAAAACAAAAAAGCCGAACATAAAAAACAATCGTAGGTACAAAATGGTATTATTATTATTATTTGTAATAAATAAGTTTATATTTCATTTATTAACTTATTTGAATAACTACTTTACTTTACAAAATATTGCCAAATATATTAATTTCGGTTACAAAACAATTTTACAAGTAAAAACCTTCATAACAAATTTACCCTGCCTAAATAAATTCCCTTCTATGCGCTACTTTTTAATTTATATTTCTTTTTTTTTAATATTTACCTAAATATTGTTTATTTTAACTTTTTGGCTAAAAAACATATTATGTTAATTGTTATTAAAATAAATTAATAAATGTGTTTTTAAACCATAGACAACAGTATTTATATGATGTCCCGACGCGAATTAGGCAGACAAAACAATTTTAAAATAATTCAAAAAAATACTAAAAAAAGTAATTATTGTTATTTTTTACTTTTAAACTTATTTAAATAACAAACCTAATAATTAAAAAGTTATAAGCTTTTTTTGTTGAGGGTAAAACTGACCAAATTTTACAACAAAAATAATAACTCAAAAACTATTAAGTTTAGGTATAGGGATATAGCCATTGTATAAGGAATGATGGTAAGAATTTAAAAATGAAAAAAAATTTGGTGATTCATTTAAAATAACAAAGTTGATATCGCTTCTGTTAAAACCCGAAGAGGAATTTTGTTCAAAATAATTTAGAAAAATAGTTTAAATGATATTATAATTGCTATAAAAATTTTAATTGGGTATCTTTTGCCGTTCTCCATAAACGTCTAACCTACCATCGACCCTGTATATATATATTTATATATATACATGTAAAGTTGTCTTTATTTTTAGAGCAACGTCAGAGCCTTTTTTATTAGTCAATTTATTTTTAAAAATAATAAAATATCTTATAAAACGGCAATATTTGTCTAGTTTTTGGTATTCTGTAAATAATATCAAAACAAATAAAAAAATGAAAAAGTTACATTTTGAATTTACAATATTAGAAAACAAGTTCTTTATTTTTAGAGCAACGTCAGAGTCTATTTTATTTGTCAATTTATTTTTAAATATAATAAAATATCTTATAAAACGACAATATTTGTCTAGTTTTTGGTATTCTGTAAATAATATCATAACAAATAAAAAAATTAAAAAGTTACAGTTTAAATTTACAATATTACCACCAAGTGATGGAAAGGCAAATGTGATGAGTATAACTTCGATTCCTACAGAAGATAATAAAACTTATGGATTACCAATGAAATTACTACTTTACATACAGAATTAATTAAACAACCAGCATTCAATACAGTGAAAAATAGTATAAAAAAGGTATCAATACAGGAAAATTTGGATTTCTTTATCAAAACAGCTTAAATCAGTTTATATTGATGATGGGAATTTACAATTTGTTGATCAATATTTGGAATTATTGGGTGAAGATGTTAAAACAGTAGCAGCTAGCCCAGAAAATGAAAATACTTTAAATAAAATTCTTGAAAAACTTGTAGAAGGAGAGTCTTAAGCAAATGGGCAACAAAATATAAGGAAGATAGCCGAAAAATTTATATTGAAAAAGTTTATTATCAAAAATAATAATGCAAATCAATGGATTGAAAATTTTGAAAAGGAATGTGTACGCTTTAATTAAAGCGTATTATATTAATGTAAAATCTGATGAAAATAAAATTGAAATATTACGACTTTTCATGGGTAAATCCTGCATAGACTGGTATAGTTCAATGATCATCAAATTAACATTGGACTCAGAATGGTCAACCTGGAGGAATAAATTTTGTGAATCATTTGCCAATAAAGGTTGGAATCCGGTAACATATGCTTTAATATTTAAATATAAAGAGGGATCATTGCTTGATTATGCAATAAAAAAAAAGTCTTGACCTGAGAAAATCTTTTGACACAGGTACTTTAGTACTTGTAGCAGCAGGCTTACCAGAATTCATTCTAAACAAAATTGATAGAGAAGCGATTAGAGATACAATTGATCTTTTTAATGAAGTCAGTAGATATGAAAATATTGTTAGGAAAAAAAATGTGTGCTTAAAGAAAAACAATGAAAATTTTAAAACTAAAAGTAGACAAAATGAAAAAAAAACCTTTTTCTATTTGTACAAGGTATAAGAACCATCCTGAAGCAGCTTGTTATTTTAAAGATAAAGTACTGCTGCGAGTTAGACGTGGAGTCCACCAGATAAGACCTGAAGATGGTACATGAGATTGTACCGAAACTTCGTCAGACATACGGTTCTTTTAAGAACCAAAAACCGACAACACGGAGCAGATCCCGAAAACCATCAATATATATAACGTTCTTGGAAACCTAAAGCACAACATATTTATATACAAGGTGTCCCTAAACTTATTGGCATAAATTTAGGAAAAGATTGAGCAAGTCAAAATAAGACGAAAACCCAAATAAAATTTTTTTCTAATTACTTATGTTTCCAAGATACAGGGTGATAAAGTGTTACTTATTATATCAGTTTTTTTAATATATCCTCTACTATGGTAGTCTTGGAAAGGTGATATTTTGCGAACACTTACTTACTACCAAAACACATATTCACACATAATTATAATTGTTTGAGTGAACTCAGTGTCGTAGAAACGGGGGTTCCTTTAAGCTTATTGTCCCATACAAACTTTGAGGTTAGGTTTTTATAATATTTTATGCAATTTTTAGATTGCGCAGTTCGGCTATCATTAAAAAGGTGTACCCAGTAGCGTGCAAAGGTGATCGGGGGCCCCCCCGCAAATTTTGAGCTGGGGCCCCTTTGTTACTTATACCACCCAAGGTGGTTCTCTACGGGGCCCCCTTAAGGTCGGGGGCCCCCCCGCACCGCGGGCCCTGCGGGGCCCGTCCTGCACGCCACTGGGTGTACCTCTCAAACTTCGATAAAATAAACCGTTTCCGAGATATTCGAGATTACAATAATTGTTATATCGCATTATTTAAAAGGATTAAAAGGTATATGATTACATATTTTATTTTTTAATTGAAAAAACTAAAAAGAGCATTTCATGCGCCTCGGGACTTTTTGCCCTGACCGTCACATTAAAAAAAAATGTTGTTTTTTCAATTAAAAAATTGTTATCATATAACTTGTAAAGTTGTTTGTTTTGTGATGCTTAGTAGAAAGGAATTGAACACGAAGTATGTAAACTTAACTCTTTATTCAGTTAACTGCTGAATAATACAATGACTTAAATGGTAGCTTAATTATTTAACAATATTCCTTTCTAGAGCGGCTGTACTAGCCTGACTGACTATTTTAAAAGAAGTCATCCCTCGGTAAGCCCTTGGGGGAGGAGCTTTAAGTGGCGCATGCCGCTTGAGGCGCTTAAGGCACTTATATTGAAAATTTACAAACATACCGCCCACCTTGAAAGGAGGCCTTTCAATGAATTATTAGGGCATAAATAATAAAATATGAACATTAGTACAGTAGTGAATCAAACAATAATCACTAGGGCTAAAATTAATAACTAAATACTAAGTACATCAGTATTAACAAGTAATTTTAAATTTTATATACAATGTTTAATGTTTAATGTTTTTAGTCACTGGCACCTTTCTCTACGATCGGAAGCGCGCACACCTTTGAAATTGCTCTCTTAAACACACCCGTTTGTGTTTTCACTGTCACTACACGACACACGTTGTCCGTACCGTAGTGTTTTTCTAAAATGCGCCCCAACTTCCATTGCATTACAGGAACGTTGTCTTCTTTGATCACGACCAGTGCTCCAATGGGTATACCGGGTGTCGCCTTATGCCATTTAGACCTCACCTGGAGTTCGGAAATATATTCCTTGGACCAACGTGACCAAAAATGTTGTCGGATCTGAATTAAGTGTTGATATCTCGACAATCGCGTAGTTTTCATTTGAGTCAAGTCAGGTTCAGGTAAACTCGTTATCGACCTTCCGATTAGAAAGTGACCGGGAGTCAAAGGAGTCAAGTCATGGGGATCATTTGAAAGAGGGGTC